TTTTATTTATTAACCTACTATATATAGCGAGATAGTCCGGAACGTGCTGCATCTTTTGGTATATTTGCATTAAACATCAGATGTAGTTCAAACTGTAAACGATATATTAGAAAAAAAAAAAGCGGCATTTTTTTTCGCTGTACAAAACCGACTGTCCATAATGTTGTAACATTTTTTATTTTGCATTTATCTTGGTTTTGGTAAACAATAAAATCTTGAATTTTTTTCTAAAAGATGCGCCGTAAAAAGCTTTATAAAAAGTGTATGATTGAATTTTTTTTTACGTGTTTTAATAGTTTTTTTTGTATTCAAAATGAACAACCTACAATGACAGTGTCCCCCTCCATCATATTAAAAATGTTTTGGACACTATTCTAATTCGCCATCGGAATTGATCCATACAGTTTTTGTAGAGCTTTCGACGGCACATCTGTCTAAAAAAAAATTCAGTGTTCTGTTAGTTCCTCAAGTCGAGATATATGCAAAATAAAAGCGTCTTCCAAACATTTTTCATATAATGAAAAGTGACGCTGTCATGTAGGTTGTTCATTTTGAATATAAGAAAAACTATTAAAACACGTAAAAAGAAATTCAATCATGCGCTTTTTATAGAGCTTTTTATGGTGCATCTTTTAGAAAAAAATTCAAGGTTTTATCATTTACCAAAGGCAAGATAAATGCAAAATAAAAAATGTTACAACATTATGGATACCCTGTACACAGAAAAAAAATCTCCCTTTTTTTTCTAATACTTCGTTTACAGTTTGAACTGCATTTAATGTTCAACGTAAATATACAAAAAGATGCAGCACGTTTCAGGCTTTCTTCTTATAAATAGTGTACTAATACATAAGTAACGCTCGTCGCTACGACTCGCTCTATCCTCGACTGAAGGGTTAGAAGCACTTATACGCTAGTCCACTTTATCAAGACAGTTACTGATAATATCGCATGTAAATGGGTACCTTCATATAATAGGGCTTGAGGGCCTATGGATATATATATAGAAGTTTTAAGGCCATGTTCTTTTAACCTTGCCACAAACCAACAAACGCATTTTTTTTCATATGACCCTCCATTCAGTCGATGGAATAAAAGACAAAAAAAAAATCAAAGGGTATACTTTCAATTTTCGTGGACTGTATGACTTATAAGAGTCTAACTGTTCATTTAATTTGTTTGATCGGTTGAGGCACAATCCGTGTTGACAACTAAAGCTTTTATCATATATAAAATATTCAGAAATAATGCGTGTTACGTCATCTGTTGAAGTTTCTTGCCATGGCACACTATTATTACCAGTTACTTGTCTGCCAAAAAGCAAATATAAAGTATCGAGACACTATTATGCTCCTTCGCAGAAAGAAAACGAGAGCAACGTTAAAGTTATTTTTCAACCAAATAGAAAGAAAAAATAAATTGTCGTTCTCTTTTGCAGTACGAGTGCGCAATAAAACTTTTTTCCCACTTTGGATCACGTACATATAACAATCCTCGGTTAAATGATAATGGCTATTTATTATACGGGTATGTTTATTGGTCAGCGTATTCTTGATCCTTCTGCAAAGAGTAGAATAAAGGAAGAAGAATCACTAAAATTTACTTTATGTTTTACTCCAAGGAAAGAATATCTATCTGTATTTAGGGCTGGATTGTCTGGTAGGACTATCATGTATGGAACTTATGATGGATCGACACAGTTAGCTTCTATAATCGAACTAATAGACAATGTAAAAACATACAAGTATCAATGTAAATTAATGATTGACAAAACAAATGAGCCAATCTATTTGCGTGGGTCTTGGAATTCATTGATCGATGAAGATTTTTTCGGTGAATTAATAATGACAAGTGAAGCAGATGTTCCATTTAATTCTATATCAGGAATATGGATGGGTGAAGCACAACCAGCTGAAGAATTTGCTGACTTTTTCATTCCTATTAATCCAATCCGTTGGTACGCTACTCTATTTCGAAAAGACGATTAACATGATACATGTTTGGTAGTGGTTACTTGAATGATTCAACCGATATTCCTAATCAACCTCTTTTTTTTTTTTCATTGGATGGAACAGGTACATTAGATGATATGAAAATTATTAAAAAATACATAATAACGGATCATAGAGTTGAATACTGAGGTAAACTGATTGAATATGAAAATGGTAGTTAGTCATATGTGGGTCATTGGTCAAATGCCGTTGCAGATAGTTATGGATCATTTATGGCTATACAATATTGTTTCAATCCAATTATTTCATATCGACTTGATATTTGTTTATGTGAAGTGTGTAGAAATATTCTTCATCCTGGTGATAATCGCTGATTTTGCTCTCAATGTCATTTTAGCACATGTCCTGAATGTAATCATCATAAACTAATGAAATTATATTTAAAGATATTTTTTATATATTCACGAATTTACGATATTTAAATTTTTGACCATCTTCAATTTGTTATCAACGACTATCATTTTTTACTCCATCTAGCTTCATTTCTACAAATTTGTTAGAATTACATGTCTATTTGAATACTTTTACTGGTTGTCTTTATTTACTTGATGGTCGTTTCAGTCAACTTCATACACTTTATGTTAATATTGATTTTATTTGTACTTCGGATCTAATAGTCAACAATAGAGTAGATTATTTTTAATTTATTTAAATAAATTTTTTGTTTTTCTAGGAAAAACTATTTAATTTAAAATGCTTTTCACTATATTCCAACGACGAAACAAATAGTTATGATGAATTAATTCTACCACTTTTACAACGAATGTCGAACTTAGAAAAACTTCATTTATATTTTGTTCTTATGGAAGAGAAACATTTTTTGATGGTAATGAATTGAATATGAATATTATTGATTATATGCCACTATTAAGTAAATTTACATTTAATATTCGGTCATTCAGTCCTTGTTATAATTAAATTAATTTACCACCGAATGAAGATATTCAAAAAACATTCAGAGACTTTAAAGATCAGCAAATTATCTATTGTGCTAATTATTTTTCAATGCCACAATATGGTGAATATCATCTTTATTCATATTCATATCAACTGCAACATTATGATCGTATAACAAATAATTTTCCAGGTGGAATATTTACAGGTGTTTGTAAAGTGTCATTATGGGATAAATGTCCTTTTGAACATGAATTTTTTCTTCGAATTACTTAATCATTTCCATTATTAGAATTTTTATCTACAAATAATACAAAAGAACAAAATAATAAACAGTTTAGAAAATCAAAAAATGAAGATCAAGATTTATCAATCATTAAATATCTGCATCTTAAAGAGCTTAAACTTATGAGAACTCATATAGATTATCTTGGTCAATTCTTACTTGATATTAAAACATGTTTACCAAATAATGTTTATCTTCTTACCAATTATCTACATTTGAAAAGAGTGACACGTAATTTTACAAGAAAAACAACACGATGTAATTGTGAAAATAACTCAGTGCCATATTTTTTTCTACTAGATTAAAATTCTCTGAACGTTTAAAAGACTATATGCTCCATAAAAAAAATATTATGATTATTATCAGTTTATTATTTAAATAAAACTGGTTAAAAGCAAATTGATTTACATAAAATAAAATTATTGACTAAATAGAGAAGAGAATGATATAGTTGAAACTAGATATTGACGAGCATAGTTTGTTATATACGAAAATATGATTATCTATTTGGAAATACACATTTCAGAAAACGAAAATGAAACCACGGATGGAAAAGAATATTGACAAAAAATAAATTATTGAAGGTCACCATTGATAGATTTGATGAAATAAGAATGAGTCATGATATAAAATGGGAACTGTGTGAATAAAATTATTAGAAATTAATATGCTTTCATATATCATATGTTTTCATTTAAAATAGACAATAGAACATCAATGGTTCAGGTCTATTGCAAACGAGAATAAACCAATAAATATAAAGACAAAAAGAAAATAATATCTATCGTTTACATATTCATGTAATTGTCATCATTATAAATATATAAGATTAGTATGTTGAGCTCTTTTCTGTTGGTGAATTTGAAATAATTCGCAAGAAATTAATGGAAAATTTGATTTTGTAGTGAATTTGGAAAGAAGGAATGTTTTACGTAAAAGTCAACAAAGATATAAGAGATAATAATAATATTACTAATATCAACGCTAGCAGTCAGTGCACTCGGATGTTTTTTGAATAACTTTCGATAGGAATAAGTTAGAGATCTGCAGTTTTTAGCAATTGAAAGAGAAGACATGGAGCTGTCTTTTTCTCCGAAAATGTATAAGACAAAATCGTTTTAAAACCAATCATCTCCGAGAAACATTTGAAAAAATGCATGAAACTGGTCTGCCGTTCTGATGAAATTTTGAAAAAAAGTTAAAAGATTTAGGTGAAAATCAGCACAATTTTGTATTATTTGAGTAAGCTAGTACATGATTTCGTTGGTTCAGCGTTAGAATGTAAAATGATAACAATTCGCGTTGTGTCTTAAACTATAGATCTGACGTCCCTCTATCCAAATCATATGTCAAAATCAAAATTTTATCAGAATGGCAGATCATTTTCATGCATTTTTCCAAATGTTTTCCGGGGATGATTGGTTTTAAAAAGATTTTGTCTTATACATTTTCGGAGAAAAAGATACTCCTATATTGAGAGAAAAGCATGAATCACTTCTCTTAAAATGGATGTCATTTATTGAAATAAAGTAGTTGCATACAGAATCCTTCTCCTTTCACTCTTCCTTTTCTTTGATTGCTGCATTTTTACTTTATTTGCTTCTTCCTTTTCTTTGTTTTTTCCTGCCCTTAAAAAACTTACGAGCGTTCTATTTCACTTCTTTTTTTCTTCTCTCTCTGGTTTACTTGATTCTTCTTAAATTCCAACATTTTTTGTGATTTTTTTTTTTACTTTTTGCCTATTTGTCTTGGTGTTTGCTCTTTCATATTCCCACGAGCAGATTCAATATTCGTTATAATGATATTAGTGGCGACTGTAAAATTCATTACATTTATGTTGTGCTTAATGCTTAAATATCAGAATTTTTCCTTATACTATTATTATGTAAGCACTTCCGAGTGTTACATTTACAAGCAAAATAAAAAAAACCAACTGATGATGATGAGGACGTAGTTCTATCTCAAATACAATCCTTACTATATGAAGCACCTCCTCTTTATTCATTATATTTTCGAGCATGGTTGTGTTCAACCACATCAATATTCAAGAAAATGAATCCATCGGTTCATTACCTTAATTTCCAAGACCTAACAACATAGGCTGACATTCTATTGAACCAAAACTGATCTGACTTCTCTTTTCGAGAAGATCTCGACACATGACCATCAAATATGATTTTTCAAATCTTCAATCAATAATATCTTAATATCTTTCGTTTCCTTGAAGTCTTGTTCTATAATATATTAGAAATATTTCCGTTCTGTCATAGAAACACAAATCAATGTAGGAACGTATTGTTGAACACGTCATTGTTGCTGTTGTATATCATGTCTCTGATAGTTCATTTAAAAAACTTTCACAATTAACAACGCTTCCTTCTCTTCACACAATATATCCTCTATATGAATATCTTTTCTAGTCATCTAGTTTTGTGACAAGAGAGAATATAAATAACAGTGTCGCCCAAAGATTATTACTGCACCAATCTATTTCATGCTTCTCATTATAATTCTACAATGAATCGAACTTATTCTCCTACGATTCTTGACATGTGTATTCAATATGTCATAGGTACTAATGAGATTGCTTCGATGTGAAATCGATGAACGCGGCAAAGATCTTCATATTAAGTGATGTCTGGAGAATCCGATGTAATTCTTTAGAAATGATTGATACATCGAATTTTTAAAAGTAGTACTTCAATTTATTTGAAGTTGGTCAACTGTAAAACATCCTATTGGAGGAGGAGGAGAACCATTCTGCATATCAGTTAATCACTAGCTCTATCTTATATTAAAAATACGAGAGAAGAAATACTCCTGCGACACACCATTCTCGGCAAATAAAGTGTTATTTCTGCTAGATAGTTTTCATTATTCGTTTATATTGAAAAGACCCATTGTCGTCCAAAATATTTCATATCCTGGAAACCAAAGAATTATCTTGTATCAGCTTGTTGGAGGAAACATAACTTAGTTTTGATCAGTGTTTGTTCTCTTAGGCCATTGCAATAGATTGCTTCATTTCATCATTCTTTTAATTTTCAAAAAAGCCTCCTGGCTTTTCATCTCGAGGTGGTCGTTCTCAAACTAATGAATTTAGCTTCGCTCTCTTTTTGTCACGCTACAATTCAATCAATTCATTAACTATATTTTGTTTTTTTTCTTCATTTGGATAAGTGTATATGGAAAGTAGTAGAACGTCATTCAAGAAATGAGTTCCTCTTTAAACTATTTTTAGCTTCCAAAAAGTCATTTGATTTGAAAAAGGAGATAAAGTATTGAGCAGAAATACTCTGACGTGCGAAAACGGAGATAAGTTCAGGCTTTTTTTATTATGAAACTTTTAGAAGAGATACAACGCAATAAACTGTGATCGTAAATATTAACTCGTTCTCGATGGATTGATATGAAGAAATTTCATTCAAAGATTGAAACTACCATATTATTATTCAGCTCGACGAGCTCTCTCAACCATATACAAAGTAATGAGAAAATGTTTCTGCTCATTTTTTTTTTCATTATCGGAATGCTATTTAAAAAAGAGTTGCTATTGTTTTACTGTTCATTCTGCGAGTTTCTAAAAGGAAAGATACAGCCAAAGAAAAAGGAACGGTGAGTCTAGTCCTAATCTTTTCTCGACAACACTATAATGTCCGGAGCTCGTGCATTACGATCAATGTCTAATATCGTGCGTGAGAAATTGTTTACATTGAATCTTTTTGACTCGCAATCAACAGATTTGAAGATAGTTCGTCGTGAATTGCTATCCACTCGTCTATATCTCATCTTACTTGTCGTCTCCGTTTTCATTCTGACTTTGTACACGTCTCTCAGTGTACAAATAGAGAGTGAAACAGTGACACGACCGACACAGGATGTGTACGAAAGACTCCGCAAGAGCTATATGACCACTCTTCAATGTCCATGCGCACAAATTTCGGTACCCTATGGAATATTTGTCAATATTGTCCCAGTACTTCATCAAGTCTGCTCCAGTGATTTTGTTTCTCATACATGGATTGATTTTACATTTGGAACGAATACAACGTTCATCTTGCCGATGGACATACGAACAAGCTTGAGCACAATATGGCAACTGATTTCTGCTCTATGCCAAAATGCGAGAAGTAGTCTCGTCGATGCAATCGACCAGTTTACCAATTCAACATTGATCAATTCAATGCTCTTATCCGAAGAACTACTTAAAACGCAGAGTATAGCTGCTCTTGATTTAGCCCGCCGAACAGCGTCGAGTACTTTTGTACGACCATTTACCACAATTCATCAAATTACACAAGCAAATGTGTACATCACAGGCTTGTTAACAAACGCTGTTGTCCTTCGACCGGGAAGGGTTACCTTTGAAACGGGGTATATATGGACAACGGATAACGACTATATCCTACGAGGAACAAGTACAAGATGTAAATGTCAAAGTACTGGATCATGTCCGACGCCTGCTGGTCTCTATTTGTACTCTGTTCGAGACCAATACGGAGTCTTTAATCTCAATAATCTTATCGCCAATGAAACATTACCAGGCTTGGTATTTGATTGTTTACCCTTAACAATGACGCTCGCTTCGTCCTTGGAATGTTTCTATAATGAATCATGTCTGCAGATTCTTCTCTCTGCTTATCCAAAAACAATCAATGTTTCAATCCTAAATGATTCTCTACCAAGTCGCTTCATGCCAACAACAATAGTAGAACAACTAATCAATGAAGTTTTTATCGAAGAGATTCTCAATGAAACAAGTTACGCGTCATACTATCGTGCATGTGCACCAGTCTATTGTAGTTATGCATTCACACATCGATTCGATTGGATCTATGTTATCACAACTCTCTTAGCACTTGTCGGCGGGCTTAGCACAGCATTGCGTCTCACTACTCCATACGTAATCGATCTCGTCTTTTTGTTGAAGAAACGACGATCTGAACAAGTCGAATCTCAATCGAATGAGAGTAAGATTTGATTAAAGTGT